GCCCGCGCCGTGGCTGCTGGCCCCCCTCCCGGGGTGCTGCTGCGACGCCGGCCCGCAACTGCCGCCGGCTTGGCCACCTCCGCCAGGCCGCGACCACGCAGCCGCCGCGGCCTCGCCGCGCGAGTGCGCCTCCGCGCCTCCCGCCCCCTGCGGCCGCCTCCTCTCTTCCTGCCCCCCCCCTCTTGCATGCGGGCTAACCCGCGCACTCCGCGCCCCGCGCACTCCGCGCCCCGGTTTCGCTCGGGCTCGGGCGCGCGCGCGGGTTGCCTCTGCCGCGCTGCGCGTGTCCTGGCGATGTGCGCGGGCATGCACGTGCACAAAACGAGTGTGTGTGTGTGTATGCTCGCTCGAGTAGGAAGTGAGCGCACCCACGAACACATGCCGCCACCGTGCGACGATCGACAGGCACGTGAACGCGCACACGTACAAATGCAGCCACCGTGCTACAATGAAGAAGCGCCGAAGACGGAACGAGGGAGCTCTTCTGGCCACGGCGCGCCTCGGCCAAGAAGAGGTTCTCCGATCCAGATCGCAGGAACGGCCCGCAAGCCAGGGCCCAGTCTGAGCCAACAGTCGTCCTTGTGTACGTGTGCACATATGTATACGCACACGCTGGGAACATGCGCGCGCGATCCGCGAGCGCCCAGACTATCCGCCACCGTGCCGCTGAGCACGGAGTGGACGCGTCCTCAGGTCCTCAGGTCCTCAGAACTGAGAGCCTCAGCTCTCAGTCCTGGGGGGTCAAATTTGGGGGCCCGGACGCGAGTGTCCGAAATCTCTTGGGGCTTGCCGCGTGCTCCCCGGGCTCCGGCGCATCTCCCCGTGTGACCACGGCCCCAAGACGGGCCACGAGAGCCTCAAGAGGCCCCCCCAAGGCGGTCCACGAGCACCCCGAGTAGCCGAAAGATCGCCCCAAGACGCGCAAGATGGCCCCAAGACGGTCCAGGAGGCCTCCAAGACGCCCCAAGAGGCCTCCAAGAGGCCTCCCAAGAAGGCCCCAATTGTGAAGGAGTTCGGCGTTCTCGCCTTTTCGGCTTCCCGACGCTCCGAGGCGGCCCTGGAGGCCCCCAAGACCACCCCAAAACGGCCACAGAACCCTCCAAGAGTGCCCCAAGACGGCCCAAGAGCGCCACGAGACGGCCCAAGAGGCTCCCAAGACGGCCCAGGACAGCTCCAAAGGGGGCCCCAGAGGGGCAGCACGAGCCGAAAACCCGAGCCTTCCGCCCTCGAGGCCCCCAGGAGGCCCCAGGAGACACCTAGTGGGCCCCAAGAGGCCCCCAAGAAGCCCCAGGAGGCCTCCAAGAGGTCCCCAAGAGGTCCCCAAGAGGCCCCAAAATGGCCCCCAGAGATTCCAAGAGGTCCGAAAATGGCCCCCAAGAGGCCTCCAAACTGCCTCCAAGAGGCCCCCGAGAGGCCTCCCACGAGATCCCAACGAACATCCAGTAGGCTTCATACCCACAACCCAGGCACGGTGGCGAGATGGGGCGAAGGCCATGAGATATCAAGCCGTGGCCATAGTCTCGACGTTGCAGCATCAGGACGTCTATCAAAATCAAGACGTGCATCATGACCCAAGCCAAGGCTTCGAGCAGTGTGCTGAGGGTGCCCCGCTCAAATCCGTGCCCCAACGGATGCAATGCGGAGAGCCCCGATCGCCCCGAACCTTGCATCCTCCTTCCCCCACGCCCTCCCACTCCCTTTAGGTCGGGCATGTCCTCCTACAGGCGGATTCTGGGCGGAAAAATAAAAGATTTTAAACTATCATGAATAATCAAAAAAAAAGGGATTAAAGAATCGTTCCCAGACTATTGTTTGCTTTGTTTGAATATTCCTTTTGTAGAAAGGCGCTTCTGACTCAACACTCCCTCCCTCCTCCCCCCCGCTCCTCCCATGTCTGATGCTTCCTTCGAATCCGTGCCCTCCCTCCCGTCATGCCTTCCCTGATACGTTTCCTAAAAAGGGACGCCAGCGAAAGGGACTTCTGAGACCGCGGCGTTGCATCTCAGACTGGCTTCGAGAAGTGCGAGTGACAACGTCATGCGGCGACCCTGTGGGCGAAGCCGAGTGGACTTGAGAAATCGGCATCGCCGGTCTTACAAGCCCCTTTCCCTGGGGTCCCTGTCGGAACGGCATGACTCCCGGCCTCCCAGGCCCTCCTTCTCCCTGCTGCATGCGGCACAACCGAGCTACTAAACCAAGGAACGACAACTAAGGAGCGAAGCCCCCGTTGGGGGACGCGGTGCCCCAGACGCGCCTGGGTGCACGAGGACTGGAGGAGCAACCACGGCCTGATCAAAGGAACAGCGAGCCTCTTCCAAACCCAGAGTGCTGGGCCTGTTTTCCACCACCACCACCACCATAAGTTGGAGCGGGAGGGGGTCCTCCTCCTCCTCCTCGTCCTCCTCCTCCTCCTCCTCTTCCTCCTGATCCTCTCCTCCTCCCCCTCCCCCTCCTCCTCCTCATCCTCCTCCTCCTCCTCTTCGTCCTCCTCCTCCTCCTCATCCTCCTCATCCTTCTCCCCTCCAACTTATGGTGGTGGTGGCAAACAGGCCCATCACAGAATGATCCTTATCTCGGCGTCCTGGCTGTAAGCCCCGCCACCACGGCCCCAGAGCCATCTTGGGGGGGGGGTCCGCCGAGCGCTCCTGGGAGGACGACAAGGTACCCATACCGTCCGTGGGACCCCTCCCAGGGTGCGCTCTGACCTCTGACTGGGATGTCGGGAAAAGAATCCAGCCGTGGGGACGAGAGCTCTCCAGCGCGAGCAACGGTATCTAGGTTTAGGTCGGGCATGTCTTCCTACAGGAGGACTTCTGACGAAAACAAAAATATTCGAAAAATATTCGAGAAGAGTCGAAGAATCGTCCCCAGACTATTTGTTTGACTATGTTTGAAGATTCCTCCTGTAGAGGGACAGGCCCGACGTTCATCTAGGCCACCTAACCTCGCGCAGCGCGGCCCGGCGAGGCGCGACGCGCAGCTCTCTGGCCCGGGCCGGGACGCACGAGTGTCTTGGCGCCCGTCGGGCGGGTGGTGGGGGTCACCTGAATTAGGTTATGGATATCTATATATAATGAATACTGAAAATTAATTTCAAATAAATAAATGGATAAATAAATAAATAAATAAAGGCGCTTAGTAGACATCGAAAAGTCCACCCCGATGATAACCACCCCGGCACACAAAGTCGTCTCGTAAACGCGCCCAGAGAAGGGATCGAACAGGGCAGGGCTGTTTCGTAAACGCCCAAGGCCGTTCAGTTCACGCCCTTGACTTGTAGGGCCCATGCCGGGCCCCTGCTAGCTCCAAGAGGTGTCCTGAAGGTCTCCCTTTGGGGCCCTTCTCTTCGCCCCCCATCGCTCGGACGTCCATTCCCTGTGCATTTTTCGGTTTCGTGCGTGTTTTTGTTTGCTTGATGATCCAGGATGCTCCTCCAGGGTCCTCGCCGAGACAAAAATGCACACGTCCGAGCGATGCCAGGCCATTAACATCACCCCCCAGTACCACCCGCCCGAGCCCCCGCGAGTCACCTAGGGTATCGGTGCCGCGCCCTCCTCCGAGCTTCTGGAGGCATTCCCCTTTCTGTCTCTCGGCGCGGGCGGGCGCCGGCCAGGATCCGGAAGCGCACCCGCGGCGCGGGCGGCGCGCGGGTGGGATCAGATCCAGCGCGCGCGCGCTCGCACCAACACTCCTAGGGGGCCGCATGCGCACCCTACCCCTACCCCCCACGGTTTCTGAGGGGGAAGGGGTCCACTCCGCTCGCCACTCCACCCCTCAGAAATCGTGGGGGGGAGAGGGGGGGTGCGCATGCGGCCCCTTAGCCCCTCCTCCCTCCCATCTCTACCACCCTCGGCTCCCCGGTCACCCGGCTTCACGCATCGCGCCCCGCGGTGCGCGACGCGCGGCAGCTTCCCGCCATCGCGCCCCCGCGCCGCCCCCCCCGACCTTGACCGCGACGCGCGAAGCGCGATTATCCTCGTAAGCCCGCGGGCGACCTGGCCGCTGTGCTGCTCCTCCTCCTCCTCCTCCTCCTCCTCCTCCTCCTCCTCCTCCTCCTCCTCCTCCTCCTCCTCCTCTCCTCGTCCTCCTCCTCCTCCTCCTCCTCCTCCTCCTCCTCCTCCTCCTCCTCCTCTTCCAACTCCGCCTCCTCCTCCTCCCTCCCCCTCCCTCCTCCTCCTCCTCCTCCTCCTCCCTCCTCCTCCTCCTCCTCCTCCTCCTCCTCCTCGTCTGCCTCCTCCTTCTCCTCCTCCTGCTCCTCCTCCCCCTCCTCCTCCTCCCCCTCCTCCTCCTCCTCCTCCTCCTCCTCTGCGCCACCTTCCTTGTTGCGCTTTCCAAACACAAATCCGAGGGATCGTCGCGCGTCTGCCTCCTCCTCCTCCTGCCTCCTACGCTCGATTGCTGGCCTGGCGAGCTCCTAAGTCGAGCAGGCCGAGACGCGCGCTAGTGCAAGCAAGTGCCACCAAGAGCCAAGAGAACCGGTCCCTCCCCTGCTCGATGGGCACTCCCCCCGCTCCTCTTCGGAGCGGGCGCACGGGGGGAGGACGGGGGAAAGAGGCTTGAGGATGGAGGCTGGAAGAATAGGAGGAGCAGGAGCGGGAGCAGGAGCAATAGCAGCTGCTGGGACGCCGACGGTCCAGGCTCATCCCGTTGCACAGCACTGGAACGTAATCATCATCGGCCAGTTGCCGTTACCATTTTACCTACGGCGCGTTCGTATCGTGACGACTTCGACGTTGGCTTCTGACACCGCGTGGATCGTTCGACATTGAGCGACGTCGGCTCTCCGAGAACGCAGATCGCTCAACAATGAACGAATGGCCGCTGGCGGCGTTCACCCTTGAACGCACCCAGCGGGGGTCGCCGCCGACACGATGCGAACCTACCGTAGGCCCAGGACTGACCTGGCCAAGATCCGTGCTGGCGCCCTCCGAATTGGTGGCGCGCCGGGCAACCCGGCTCGCCTGCTGGAAGCGACCAAAGCGCCGCGGAAAGCAAGCCGCTTACCTCCGCAGGTAGGCCAGGAGTTCGTCGAGGGGCACGTTCTCTTTCTGGTCGCCCAGCAGATCCTTGTGGACCGTCGCAAAGCTGCCCGCGGTGACCTTGTCCCCCACGCTGGTCACGATGTGCTGCAGGTGGCTGATCTGGACCACCCCAGAAGTGTTCCCGACGACGCCCTCGTAGCACAGCGTGCCGAGGCTGTCGTATGCCGCGCCGTACGTCGAGCTGTACTTGCTCTCGTTCTCCTGGAGTAAGAACAACAAGGCATAAGCATAAACGTTCACAGCTCCTCGCGGATTTCTTAGATCGGCGTTGGCCCCACCTCCTTGGCTCGAGGAGCGCGCCAGGGGCGCCGCCGGAGGCGCAGACAGGGGTCCAGCGCCGATCCAAACAATCCGCACGGGGCTCCGAAATGTTGTTTATCATTTTGTTATTCCTCGAACTCCTCCATCCAATCAGCCAGGGTCTTAAAGGAGACGGGCTTGCCCAAGCCATCGATCTTCTCGACCTCCTGCTTGATCGTCTTCTCCTGCTCGCCGAGAATCGTGAGGCCGCACGCCCTCAGCACGCGCGGCACCTCGGAGAGAGGCAACAGCTTGGTCTTGCGATCGACGAACATGGGGAACACGCTCTTGAGAGGAGTTATCTTCACGAACTGCTCCTTCGCCGCGACTTTGGAAGAGGGCAGCAGCGAACTTCTCCAGGTGGTCTCCATGGCGGGGCTGCGCGGCGGGACCTGGACCGGATGGGGGCGACGGCTGGGGCGCCACTTGGCCTGCGGCTGGCGCCTGGGCCCTCGGCTCGAGCCAGATCTCTTATCGTACGGATCGAGTGCCTCCGGGGGGCCTCGGGGCAGCCTTGGGCGCAAGAGTTCTATCGAGATCTCTCGAAGAAACTTGGTAGAATCATATGTGGGGCATCCTGCGAGGTCTTGGGGCCGTCTGGGAGCTTTCTAGCAGCGGTAATGGGCTCTCTTCAGCGCGTTTTGACAACTCCATGAGGCAAGGAGTGCTGGCCAAACAAAGGCTATGCTATCCGCAAGCAGAGAATACCTGAAAGTCGGACCAGCAGCCTGACACGCCCGCGTGCAAACGGCATGCCCTTACCGAGTGACCTGCTGAAGACTCGCCGCTGCTGAACAATCAGAAGTGAGGGCAATGAGAATATGGAAGGAGGAGGAAAGAGAGTGACAGAGAGAAAGAGTGAGAGAAAAGGAGAGCAAAAAGCAAGCGACGTGCTCCAACATGAAGACGCCATTGAATTGATGAGACGTCCGCAGGCGGACGCCTCTTGCAAGTGGGCCTGTCAGTCTGACACATCCAGTCTGGAGTGGCAGACCGACTGACGCGCTGAAGAATCTCCATTGCCAATATAACAAAAGCGAAGGCACTGAATAGATAAGGGAGGAGGACGCAGCAGGAGGGACCTCCCCCTCCCCCTCCTTCCCCTCCTCCTCCTCCTCCTCATCCTCATCCTCCTCCACCTCCTCCTCCTCTTCCCCCTCCTCCTCCTCCTCCTCCTCCTCCTCCTCCTCCTCCTCCTCCTCCGCCCCTCCTCCTCCTCCTCCTCCTCCGCTTACGCCTCCGCCTCCGCCTCCGCCTCCACCTCCGCCTCCGCCTCCGCCTCCTCCTCCCTCCTCTCCTCCTCCTCCTCCTCCTCCCTCCTCCTCCTCCTCCTCCTCCTCCTCCTCCTCCTCCTCCTCCTCCTCCTCCTCCTCCTCCTCCTCCTCCCCCCCCCGCCTCCTCCTCCTCCTGCTGCGGGCGTGAGGTACCGCCTGTGACTTCCTCGCCAATTACGACATGCAGCTTGAACTTGCAACCGTTTCGCGGATGGAGGGCGGGTGGCTTTCAAAATGCGGTTCCCGCCTGGGCGCCGCACACATTTGTCTTCACAGACTGCAACTGCTTCACGGATGGAAGGCGGGAAGTTTTCAGAATGTGGCTCTCGCCTGAGCCCCGCACACATTCGTTTTCAAACTTTGCGAACGCTTCACAGATGGAGGGCGGGTGGTTTTCACAATGCGGTTCTCGTCTAAACACCATGCGCGTTAGACCGCACAGTTTGCAACAGCTTCACGGATGGAAGCCGTGTGGTTTTCGATATGCAGTTCTCGCTTAAGCGCCGCGCGCATCGTCCTGTAAGCTTACGACAAGTTCATATGTTCGTATGGTCGCAAACCCAGGAATTGTGCTCTGGTACGACTTCGGATTGCCACGACGCAACAGCGGCGCTGATTCGCGGAATTGAACTCCCAGGGATTGTGTTCCGGCACGGCATACGATTGTAGAAATGCAGCAATCACGTTAACTCACGGCGTTAACGGCGTTCTGGCAAGATTGAGGATTACCAGACGCTTGTCTTATCATGGGCCACTTCCCACAACGGGCGTAAAGTCGAAAGATACTACAATCTCGTGAAAGCGTCCCCAATCCTCCTCCTCCTCCTCTCCCTTTCTGGGACCACAGAAAAAGTTAAACACCCTCACCCTCTCACCCTAAGCTCCCCCGAGACCACGACCTCAGAAGGAGCGCGTTTCAGGGGAGCTCGCCTTGGGAACATTCGGCGGCGCGTTTCGAGAGGCGCGCATAGCGGCCGCGGTGAGAGACCACCCCCTGCGCACCCCCAGTGGTGTCGAGATAATGCCACGCCTTCCCCCCTTCTGGTGTCGAGAAAGTGCAACGCCTGCTATGCCTTTGGCGAGAGGCGCGCATAGCGGCCGCAGTGACCCCCCCAACACCCGGCGCCTTCGATCAAAACCAGGGGGACCCCCCTCCCCACCAACCCGCCCCCCTCCCGAACCCACCCCCCCGCTCCCAAAGGGGGGGGGTCAAACCCCCCGCCCGCAATCGGCGCCGGCGCCGGCGCCGGCGCGGGCGCTGGCGGCCGCCAGCAGCGCCGACGGCGGGGACGCAGCGACGATGACCAGAGGCAGCCCAAGGAGGGGGGGGGGTTCAAACACCCCCCCCCTGGCGCGAGCGGCGCCGGCGCCGGCGCTGGCGGCGGCCAGCAGCGCCGGCGCTGGCGCCGGCGACGGCGGGGACGCAGCGACGATTACCACCATCACCACCACCACCACCACCACTACAACCACCACCACCGCCTCAACGCCGCACCACCACCACCACCAACCCACCACACAACCACCACCACCACCACCACCTCCACCACCAACCAACACCACCACCACCACAACCACCACAACCACCACCAGCACAACCCACCATCACCAAACCCACAAAAACACACCACAATTACCTCCATCACTACAATCTACCACGCCACCACCACCACCGCCGCCACAACCACCACCACTACCAGCAGCACAACCCACCACCACCACCACCACAAACAACCACACCACCACCACCACCACCGCCACCACCACCACCACCACGAGCACCACCTCCACAAACCACCACCACCACCACACCCACCACCACCACCACCAACCACCACCACCCCCCACCACACAACCACCAAACTAACCACCACCACAGACCACCACCCCCACCACCACCACCACAACAAACCACCACCACACCACCACCAAAACCACCACCACCACCACCACCACCACCACCCACAACCACAACCACAACCACAACTACCACAACGAACCACCACACCACCACCACCACCACCGCCGCCGCCACCACCACCACCACAACCCACCACCACCAACACCACCGTTGTCCTCGTCGACGCTCCCCGCCGCCGTCGCCCGCCGCCGCAGGCGCCGGCGACGGCCCAGAAGAGGAAATCGTCGTCCCCGCCGCCGCCGCCAGCCGCCACCGACGCAGGCGCCGGCCCGAGGAGAGGGAGAGAGGAAACGTAGGGGAGGTGGGGGGGTTCGAGACACCCCCCCTCCACCCATGGGGACCAATTCCAACCCCCCCCCCCTCCAAGCGACCACAGAACGCGCTCTTTCCGACCTCAAGGAACCCCCTCCACGAACCAGTTGCAGGCCGCGACGGGCCCCACCGTCGCCCGCAGCTGCGGGCCGCCTCGCGGCAGCTCAACCAGCGAGCTCCGCGGCCAGCCACGCCGCGATGTCCACAGTTGCCGGGCGGTGGTCTGGTGGCGCCCCACCGCCGAACCAGTGCGCTGGCGGCCGCCTCCGCATGCCGCAGCTGGGCCGTCGCCGAAGCCCTGCGCGCGCCAGCCAACGCAGGTGGCGGAGCTCCGCCGTGCCGAGGCGGCCGGCGGTTTCGTGCGACAGCGCCAGCACCGGCCACGGCGCGCGGTGGCCCGGACATCGGCGCCGCTTGTCCGCCTCCGCGTTGCGTTGACACCGCCGTTGCCGTCCGCGGCCGCGGCGAGGCCGCGATCGTCGCTGGGACGCAGCAGTGGACCGTCACATCCGCAAGGAGCCTCGGGCAGTCTCCACATCATGCCTCGAGTCGAGGAAGGCCTCTTCCCACTCCGCCCCGAGCGCCGCGCCGCAGGCCGCGCATGGCTGGCCAGCGGGACGTCTGCCGTGCCGCGGGCTGCGCAGGCCGGCGAAGAGCAGCACGAAAGCCACATATCCCACGAAGGGACGGGAACCTCGCGCGCGGAAGCCGCAATCCTGGTGGGTACGCTCCCACGTCCTGATGGAAACGTCCCTTGCCTTCAGGCCGCCGCCGCAAGCGCACCGGTGTGCGTGGCGCGCCTTCCGGCAGAGTGGCCGTCCGCAGCGGCTATTGGCTCGCGCAGCGTCCTGGCCTAGCAGCGCCCGCGCGGTGGCGCAGTAGTCGGCGTCCTCCAGCCGCTGGCGGGGCCCGCCGCGAGCGAGCTGCCAGCCCGCCGCGTGCAGCCCGCCGCAGGAGCGCAGCAGGGCTCGCTCCTTAGCTCCGAGAGTGCTCAGCAAGGCGTCGTGAATCTTTCGTCGAGCCTTTGTGTGAGCAGCCTCTGGAGCTTCGGTCGAGGTCACTGGGCCAGAGGGCGGCAGCAACCGATGCCTGTCCTCTGCGTCAAGTAGCAATTCGGCCAGCGCCGTCCGGCAGGCGGCAGCGCGGGGCAGCGTTGAAGTTTCCGTGTCGGTCAGCCCCAGCAAGTCCGCGCGCACACGGGTCTCCGCCAAGCTCTGCGCCCAGGATGCCACCCAAGCGGCCGTCGCCAACGCGGCTTGGCTCCGATGCCCCGGCCGCCCAGTCGCAGTGGCAGCCGGCATTGTGCCTGCTGCTTCGGTTGCAGGGGGCCCAGACGCGCGAACTCTTGGTACGGCGGCGGCGGTGGCCCGGGCGTTGGCCAGCGGGCAGGTGCGAAGCTGATGACTTAGCTTACCCGTGCAAGAGAGCCTCAGCATGAGCCGGGACGCCTGTGCAGCAGAGAGGTGCGGCGAAGCAGCCTGCGCGGGCAGCTCTGCGAGCCTCCACAGCAGCGCCGCCGCAAGCCTGCGCCGGCCAGGTCGAACTGGCGCGCGTCGCTCTCGTCGGGCACGCCGCCGAGCGGCAGCGGCTCACCGAGCGGGACCCCAGCAGCGTGACGTCGTCCGCGCACCAGCACCCCTCCAGGCCAGGCGGGCAGGGCGAGCGGGCCAAAGAAACCTGGGTCTTCCGTCGCAACACTTCCAGCCCTAAGCGGCCCAGCGTCGCCTCGGCGGCCGCCTCGACCTCGCCGACCAGAGCGGGCGGCACGAGGGCGACCACGTCGTATAGGTAGGCCAACACGCGGACATCCTCTGCCCGCAAGCCACAAGCGGTCGCCCTTGCCTTCAGGGAGCCCTCGAGCGCC